CATTCCCCCACCAATGTATGAGGGTTCCAGCCTTTCCTCCTCCGCCCTAACTCCTGTCATTGTCACTTTTTGATTCCAGCCATGCTAGTGGGTGTGAAGTGTTGTCTCATTCGATTCGCATTTCCATAGTGACTAATGATCTAGAGCATCTTTTCTCGGGCTTGCTGACCATTCTTACATCTTTGGAGAAATCTCTATTCAAGTTCTTTGCCCGTTTTAAAAATTGAGTTGGCTTTTTATTATTATGGAGCTGTGTTATTTATATATTCTAGGTACTGGTCCCTGAACAGACATATGACTTGCAAATATTTTCTCCCAGTCTATTGGTTGCCTTTCCATTTTTTTTTTCTAGAAACTCTTTTTTTTTTTTTTTTTAAGATTTTATTTATTTGACAGAGAGAGAGAGATCACAAGTAGGCAGAGAGGCAGGCAGAGGGAGGGGGAAAGCAGGCCCCCCGCCGAGCAGAGAGCCCGATGTGGGACTCGATCGCAGGACTCTGAGATCATGACCCGAGCTGAAGGCAGAGGCTTTAACCCACTGAGCCACCCAGGCGCCCCGCCTTTCCACTTTTTTTAATAGTAAGTCTTCTCATTGTAATTGTTTTAATTTTATTTTTTAAGGCCTTTTTTTTTTTTTAGGTTTATTTATTTATGTAATCTCTAAACCCAATGTGGGGCTCGAACTCAGCACCCTGAGATCAAGAGTCACAGGCCCCTCTGACCGAGCCAGCCAGGTGCCCCCCATCTTTTCACTTTTTGGGTAGTAACCTTTGAAGCATAAATGTTTCTAAATTCGAGAAAGCCCAGTTTATTTTTTCCTTTATTGCTTATGCTTAGGATGTCATGCCTGAGAAATCATTTCCTAGTCATGAAGGTTTACTCCCTTGTTTCCTGGTAAGAGTTTTATAATCTTAGCACTTACCTGTGGGTCTTTGGTGCCTTTTGAGTGAATTTCTGTATACGGTGCGAGGTAAGGGGCCAGCTTCATCCTTGACGTGTGACTATCCGGTTGTCCCAAAACCTTCTGTTCACTTCTTTCCCACCCTATTGTCTTGATACCTTTGTCAAAACGTAACTGACCTAAGCGGGAGGGTTTCTTTCTGAACTCTGTTCTGTTCCACCGCCTATACGTCTCTCCTTACGGCCAGTCCCACCATGTCTTGTTTGCTGTAGCAAAATCCAAAAGTGTGGGTCCTTCTCAAGAGGATTTTGCCTGTTCTGGATCCTTTGCACTTCCCTACAAATTTTAGGAGCGGCTTGTCAATTTCTGTGAAGAGCGCAGAATTTCTTTCAGTGTCGAATTTCTTTTGAACAGTGACGTTTTGTACTTTTCCAAGTACAAATTCCATACTCCATTTGTTAAATTCGTTCCTAGGTGTTTTATTATTTTTGATGCTATCGTAAATGAAATTGTTTTCTTAATTTCATTTGCAGATTATTCATCACTAATGTATAGAAATATACAAATGGTATTTGTATATTGATCTGGTATCCTGCAAATTTATTTGTTCTAATAGTTTTTAGTGGATGCCTTAGGATTTTCTATATACAACATATGTATTGTCTGCAAATTGAGTTTACTTCTTCCCCTTTCTAATTTGGATGCCTTTTACTTCTTTTTCCTGCCTGATTGCCCTGAATTGAACTTTCAATACAACGTTGAACAGAAATGGCAGGAGAGGACATCCTTTTCTTCCTAATCTCCAACGGGGAGAGCTTCCAGTCTTTCACCATTAAGTATGATAACAGCTGTGGGTTTTTAGTAAATGCCCGTCATCAGACTGAGGAAGCTCGCGTCTGTTACTAGTGTGTTGAGCGTGTTTCCATGAAGGGGTGTTAAATTTTGTCAGATGTGTTTTCTCTGCCTTTTAAGACAGTTGCATGGTTTTTCTCCCTTTTTTCCTATTGTTAGTCTGTGTTACATCAGTTGATTTTCAGGTGTTAAAACACCCTTGCATTTCTGGGATAAATCTCACTCGTTCAGAGTATGGAATCCTGTTTGTTTCTTGCTGTATTGTTTGCTAGTACTTTGTTGAGTATTTTTGCATATCACAGGTGTTATGAATATCTGTATTCGTAAGAGACATGTGCGTGCGTGCGTGTGCGTGTGTGTGTGTGTGTGTGTGTGTGCTATCTTTTCTCACGATGCCTATCTTTATGTTTTGGCGGGTCAGACAGTGTTGAACAAGAGAGGCTGCTCAGCTTCTCCTCCCGCGCTCACCTGCCTCAGGTGGGAAGGGATGGATGGCAGCTCGGAGCCCGAGTCCAGACGGTGCCAGCCGAGCTAACAATGGGATGGATGCAGCGTCATCTGTAAAACGGGCCAGGAAACTAGCTGACGGCCTAGAGGCAGTGGGCTGGGCCTTCCTGTTCTGAGCCTTGTGATGGCCAGCAGGGACAGCACCCAAGGGAGCTGCCACATACTGGACTTTAAAGGAGAAGGAGCGACCGTGGGGACAAGCCTGAGGCCCCCAGCTCGAAAACTGTTCGAGCTCAGTTATAGCAGCTCACTGAGCAGCACCCCCTCCCCGTTAGGCTGCCGGCCCAAACTGCATGGAGAAGAGGAGAGAGAAAAGCAACATCCTTGCCCAGAGGCCGGCACGGTTCCCAGTCAGGCCCTGGTGGAATGACAAGCGCGGGCCAGCTGATGATAAGAACAGGTCAGACCATGCCCTGGAAGGGCCTGTCCCCTCTCGGCGAGGGCTGGAAAAGGCAAGTCCCTTGGGAACGGAGCAGGGCCGAGGATGGGCAGCAGCTCTGTGGGCCCTTTCCGCGCCGGCTCCAGCAGCAGAGTGGGAGGCTCTAAAAATGAAAGCTCCCAGTTTCCCCACCCCTGCCGGGAACAGGAGACCAGCTGGCACTGTGGCACCGGGGGGCTCTGGCAGATCTTCCGCTTCAGGTGTCTCCCTAAGTGGAGTCCTCAGAGTCTCTGTGTGACCTTGAGGAGGTCGCTTCCGTCCCTGACTCAGAGCGTAGCCCCGGTACACAGGCCAGGCAGGCTGCGGTGCGGGGAGTCCCAGCCCCTGGTCTGTTCCCTCTGCAGGCTCACCATTCCCTCTCAGAGCAGCCAATGCTATTTTTGTGCCTGCAGCTCAGTCTAGAGGCCTCAGGTCCCCGAGGGAGAGCCCACGGAGCCGGCAAGGAAAGAAGCAGGTGGGCTGCCCCTGCTCGCGGCCGACCACCCCCTCCCCCAGCCGCGCCAGACCCCTCTGATTCGCGAGCTGGGCAGGCGGCGCCCGCCCAGGAAGAGCCGGCATCTGGTAGGTGACCGGCTCAGCTGCCGTGCAGGGTATGATGTCATCTTGGATTCTGTGGTTGCTAGGAAAATTCTGCCTGCAGTGATATTTCGTGGTCCTAGGACCGAGGTGAGAACAGAATGTTCCCAAGAAGACAGGGGAAGGATTTGTAGGGCTTCCCAAGCAAAGGACCCCCCCCCCCATCCCAAGAAGTCAGATAATTGGAGGAATTTTCAGGAATGGCAGCTGTGCTGGGGGCTGCTGGTGGGGGTTGGGCGGTCCCCTTGGCAGCATCCCGGTGCACCGGTGGCCAGAGTGAGGGCCATCTCTGATGTTCTGTCCTTGTGGGCGAGCCCTCCTTCTGCAGCACCCACTGCTGGGGGCCTCCGCCAGCCCTTGGTGTGGTAGGGCAGTTAGGAGGAGGCGGAGGCCCCCCTTGTGGTGTGGAGGAAACCAGCCCACACCTCACCTGGGGCCGGGGCAGGAGGCGGCCCTTCCCAGACTCTGTGTCACATGCTGTGGGCCAAGCACACTGGCCCCCTCTTCTGTGGCCTTTCCTGGGTCTGCTCTTCCCATCCTCCCCTGCTGGGAAGAATGCCTCCAGCGGTGCAGAAGAGAAGTATGGCAGAAAGGCCGCAGGCCGCTGATTCTCGTTCAGGGCGTGACCAAGAACTCTCCGTTAGAAAAAGGGGACGGTTGCCTGGCTGGCCCAGTGGGTAGAGCACGGGATTCGTTCTTGGGGTTGTGAGTTTGAGCCCCGCCTTGGGGGCAGAGATGACTTAGAAATAAAAAAATTTTTTTTCTTAAAAAAAAATACTGTAGGGGTGCCTGGGTGGCTCAGTGGGTTAAAGCCTCTGCCTTCAGCTCAGGTCATGATCCCAGAGTCCTGGGATCGAGCCCCGCATCGGGCTCTCTGCTCAGCGGGGAGCCTGCTTCCCTTCCTCTCTCTCTGCCTGCCTCTCTGCCTACTTACGATCTCTGTCAAATAAATAAATAAAATCTTTAAAAAAAATACTGTATAAAGAAAGAGAGACAGAGGGAGAGAGAAAGGGGAGACAGCAGCAGGCCCCAGGGAGGGCCAGGGCCCACAAGCGGGGTGGGGCCTGCAGCCTCTTCTGCACCCGGGGCTTTGGGAGGCTGAGCTGGTCAGTATTTTGAGCTCTTTCCCTCCTCCCTCTTGCCTTTCCTGCCTGCATGTCAGAGTCTGTCTTACGGAAAACAAGACAAAGGAAGTGATTTCATGAGCGTCTGGACCAGAATCTCAAATCCATGATTAAAAATAACAATAATAAGATTCTGGCCATTATCTATCTCGGTGGAAGCCAGGCCGCCTGCAGGCTGGAAACGGGCCCGGCTGTGCTCCTTTGAGCAGGTGCTGGGTTTGGGCAAAGAGGGCTGGCTATTAGAAATCCTAATGATCCAAAGGGATCGAGACACGAACCTTGAGAAGAAAGATGGAGGTTCCCGGTGCCCCTGACTTTGGTGACCTTGGAGCAAGGGGTGTGAGCAGAGCCCTGCTCGAGGACCAGCAGCCCTGGGTTCTTGCCATGCAGCCTGTCAGTGGATGCCCTGAGCCAGCCTCGGAGCCTCACCCCGAGGCCCCCGGCCACCTACGGCAGGTTGCCTGCATGTACAGGCTGTCAGGAAGGCCCAGAGAGGACGTGGGCTGCCGTGGAAGCACTGGGGACTAGGGCCGACCAAGGCTGTAACGGCCCCAGCCGCCTTGCAGTGCCCGGTCTGACGGTTCTTTCCCCTGGTCTGCAGGTGCGGAGGATGTGGTGATGGCGTTTTCCAGGTCGGAGACGGAGGACCGGAGGCAATAGCGGTGAACCCCTTGGAACACCCTGGAAGCTGCCAGGAGATCTGTGAGGACCTCGGCCAGCTGAGTGGCGGCAGATGACCTTCCCGGTTCCCCCTGCCCTTACACCCCCACCCCGCCCCACCCCACAGTCACTCAGAGGGCTGGCATCGAGGGAGTCACCGGTGGTGCAGTTACAATTGGCTTAAAGGGACGGACTCCTGATTGGCTGCAGAAAGAAACCCTTTTATTTTTAAATCTTGACCAACAGACACCTTTTATTTTTATTTCTGACTTTTTTTTTTTTTTTTTTTTTTAATTTGCGCCTCGGTGTATGGCTTCCCAGGAAGCTCTCCGAGATCTGGTGCTTTATTTAGGTCACTTTTTAGGAATGTGAAGAGGCCTGATTGGCTGCTTAAACTGGAAAAGGATTTTGATTGGCCGGCTAGTGGGAAATGGTTTTTTTCTTTGATTGGCTGCAGGTGTTCTGCCGATAGCGACAGCTTCTCTCTTTTGAATGCTGAAAACAGGGTTCGGGACATTGGTTGTTATATTTGACTTGAAAAGAAAGAAAAGAAAGAAAGAAACCAAGTGCGCTCTGCAATATTTATTACACAAAGCTTGCTGCTTCCCCAAGTTTTGTTTGTGTTTGCCTTTGATTGGCTTTTGAGATGTGTGTTTGGTTTCTCATTGGCTCATCCATGACTCCCGTTGCCACGGGCTGCCCGCACCCCGCGGGGGATCCACCTGGAGAGCGTGTTTGCTTTAATGACCGCACCTGGCTGCCCTGGCGAGGGGACCCCCAAGACCTCATGCAGGGTCTACAGCTGGAAAGCAGAGCCCCCGAGGAGGTTTGTGCCGTCCTGAAGGCGCAGACCAGAGCTTAGAGGTGACCACCAAGCAGGATTTATGGGCATCGCTTCCATGGGTTGGCAAGCAGCCAGCTCCCCATGGTGGGGGTGGGGGTGGGGAGTTGTTGATCCCCATCTGGGCCTCTTGGGGCTGCCGGTGCTCAGCAGAGGGGCACCACTCTGGGCGGCTGTCTTTTCAGCCCTTCCCTCCAGATCGACTTCCTGAGGCCTCATCTGGGGCTCCTCCTGTAAAGGGCAGGAGCTGCTCCCTGCCCTGAGACCCCACAGTGCAGCAGAGGTTTCTGCCTGGGAGCCCAGAACCTCGCAAAGCTTGGCTCACAAGGCTGGGGAGACCTTTGGCTCTAAACCCCCAGCCCTGACCTCCGCTAGCCAGGCTCCCAAGGTGTGGGCCCCTGGGCAGTAGGGCCTGGCCAGCCCTCGGAGTTCTTGGATCCCAGGCCGGTGCCCCTCACTGCACCGCCTCCGGAAGGGTCTCTCTCTGTGTCAGCCTGGAATAGACAGAGTCACCATTTATTTATGAAGTGCCATCTGAGACAGCTGGCCGGGCCTTTGCTGAGCGGGTCCCACCAGGCTGGCCCTCAAGCCAGGTCCCCAGAAACACGTTGCCGAGCAGCTGTATGTGAAGGGCTGGAAGAAGCCCCGGATCTTCCCCCCTGTCCTCCCCGTGCGCTTGGGGATAGCCTGCCCTTCTCCCTGTATCTCTCACCAGAGTGGAACCTGGGAGGGGAGGCAGAGAATGATGCAGGCCTCAGGGACGGGGGCCTCCACCCTTCTCCTGAGATAGTAAATGGCTGAGGCCCTCTTTTTGCCCCAGGTATCCAGAGCCAGGAGAAGACCCTTGGAGCGAAATCTCCCCCTTCTCAGGGCGGGGGCTGTCATGGATCACAGGAGCTGCCTCGGGCCCATGCGGGCGGTCGTGCTGTGCTCTGAGCATCGTCTGGGCCTTGCCCCAGAAGGACTTGCGTGTCACAGTATCCATGGCCCTGACCTCCTCCACACGCGGGCCCCTGGCCCTGGTCAGCTGACCTGGTTAGGTTACCCTGCAAAGACTGTTGGTGCCCAAGGAACAAGGACCATGGGGACTCCAGCAGGGGCCTGTGGCATCTTCTTGCAAGAGCCGTGGCGCGTATGCGCATCCGCAAACACGCTCCCAGCTCCGTGGCCTGCAGCCCCAGCTGAGCCCCTGGGGAAAGGGGAGTTTTTTCCCAGTGCCCTCCCCCCAGGCTGTGACATCTGCCAGCAGGCATCAATGGCGTGTTGCCATTTGCCCTCTCTTTGTACCTGTAGCTCCCATAAAGGGTCCACGTCCTGGCCAGTGGTGTGTTCTCTGTCCCAGCCTGCCCTCATCAAGGTCACGGGCCTGCCTCTTGTAACAGCGATGGCCGTGATCTGTCTGAACGGGAGGAGTGAAGGTGTTGCTGTGGCTCCATATTTCGATGAAAAATATATCTGTTGGAGAAAAAAAAAAATTAACAATAAAGATTTTTAATAGCTTGGTGTGTGAGCTGAGTTATGTCCCTCGGAACTGGGCGCACTCACTGATTACCCCACGTCACATGGGCTCTGAAGCTGGGCCCTCTCTACTCAAGGAAGCACCGCAAGGAGGGTTGAAAACACCATGTTTGCTGGTTTAATTGCGACCTGGAGTAGAACGCGGGCTTTGGAAGAATTCCAAGGTCTCCCCAGCCCAGCTGGCAGGGCCACAGAAGGCTGAGACCCCTTTTGGACCTGGAGATTCTAAATATCATCCTAGATTGGACAGGTCAGTAGTCTTCAGAGGTGACCTCGCCCTCTCTCTGTTCCAGAGCAGACGCCGAGCATCCTAGAAGGTGCTCCCTTCTACCCTAGACCCCTGGCATCCTGTGTGATGGCAGTGGTCTCGGGCCACTTGCAACACAAGTCCAAACAAGATATCCGGTCCTTTCGTCACCCCAGAAATGGGAGATTTGCTGGTATTCAGCTGTATTTTCAAGTTTAGAAGCTGAAATCATTTCTCCTTTAGGAGTTTTTGCTTTGGAAGCATTTTCTAGAATCTTTCATTTCCACCCTTCATCATCCCATTTTAGGGCTTTTTTTTTTTTTTTTTTTTCTTTTTGCTGTTTACATGGACTCACTGCTTCTACTTCCTTTTCAAAGCGTTTCACTGGGTGCTAAACACCATGGGGTTCACAGAATATGAGGGCGGATGGCACAATCCACATCATTCACTCTCCGTGCTGGGAGAGGTGTTGGAGGTTGCCTGGCAGCCCATGCAGTGTCACCTCGAAACAACTCTAAGAAAGGCTTATCTGACCTTTGCTTGAATGCCCCCTAGGATGGAGGACTCACTACCTCACAAGACAGCCCATTCCACCTTCAGGTAGCTTACATTCATCTCTACATTGGGTTGGCCTGCTTTTCCCTGTAACTTCCCATTCCAGGAAGGACTTTATGGGTCTTGAGAAACAGACCAAAAAAAGATAGTTGTATTAGCCAGACATCACCAAGACACATCAAGGGTTCACGTTAGGTAAATTATTTGTGTTCTGAGCTGCGTGGTTGGGGAGTTAACCTCGGAGCCATTCTGCTCTTCTAAGCTGAGCCACCGAGCAGAGGGAGGGGCTGGCTGGCTCTGGTGCCACCACCCAGCCCCCGGCAGCAAACCTGGAACTGGAACCGGGAGGGAGGGAGGCATCCCTGCAGGGTTATCTTATGGGAATTAGGCTACCAAGAAAGAGGAGTCGGGACACCTCAGCAGACCAAGGGAAGACACTGGGGGCAACACGGAGTCTTTGAGGGTCCCTCAGCCCGGACAGCCGGTAACCTGGCTTCACCTTCCTAGGTACAGGTGTGTGCAGCCAGAAGTGACAACAGGTGGCACCGGGACTGCTGGGGACTGAGACCAGCTGGGAGCCAGGCTGAGTCTGGGAGGCCAGGGATGGGCTGAGAAGGGGGGGCACAGGGCACCCTGCCTTTTGTTGGTGTTTCCCAGCCCTGGGGGAAGGGTGGTTGGGAACGAAGGGCTGTTTTTGCCTGTCCCTGCAGGTGCCTGGGAGCTGGGAGAATCCGGACTGCGCTAGCCTTTGAACGGGACCCTTTGTAGCAGGAAACTGATCCCTCCGTGGCACCTGGCTCGGTGGTGGGGGCAGGAGCCAGCTTCCAGGGCCGGGAGCTCGGAGGTGGGGGTGTCCCCAGGGGACCCCATCACTACCCATCCGCCCCGCCTGCCCCCTCAGTCTGCCTGTTACCCATGGTACCCACCCCTGTCCCAGAAGTTGAAACAGTCCCAGAGCGACCTGAGGCCATGGTGAGGAAACACTTCTCTGTCCAATGAAGGAGCTCGCTTTCCTGGGGCAATAACTGGGTGTTTAGGAGACTTGGTGGGGAGGTTTGGGGCTGACCATGGCTGCTAGTCCTAATTGAAAGAAAGGCCTCCCCAAGGGTAGGGCCAGTGAACTGCTTGTTGAATATCAGCCAGGGTTTGCCTTCACTTTCCCCCTTGACGTTGGAAATGCTGCCGCGCGCATGGCTTCCCGGAGGGACCTGCCAGCCCAGTCGGGCGGGGGGGGCTCAGGGAGCTGGTGACAGGCGCTGAGCCGCACCCTGCCCTGCCGGGGCCTCTTCCTGAGTCCCCAGGGAAGGAGCAGAGTGTGCCACAGGCGGCCTCCCTGCTTGCACACCTGCAGGAGCCCCGCCCCGCGTACACCCCCGGGAGGTGACTGCAGACCCAGCGCCTCTGAGAGTTTCTACCTCCTTGGTCTTGGCCCTTGAGGGAGGTGGGTTTTCACAAGCATCTTTTATGCAGGTGACTGCCTCGTCCCCGTTTTAGTAACACAGGAAATGCGTGCTGGGTGCCACCTGGGTGCGGTACATACGCTGTACATACTCCACCTTCAGCCACGCGTGAGGGAAGTACAGTGTTATCCCCATTTCACGGATGAGGAAGTGGGGGTTACATAGTTTGCTAACAGTCAGCGTGGTTCAGTCAGAACTTGGACCCGGCTTGTCTGACCCCAGACTCCATGCTTGTAGCCACTACTTTGACTGGGAAGGAGGGGAGGGAGAGTAAACCCCACATCACCGGGTTGCCCGGTGGCCTCTCGGTGACCCCAGGACCCATCTGGGGTTTGCCCTTGCTCTCCAAGTCCCGTTGTGTCCGGCTATCACAGGTTGTGAAATATTTGGCAGGTGCTGGGTCCTCAGGCCAGCCCTCAGCTCTGGGGTGAAGCCGCTGCCTTTCCAGCCTGGGTGTGACGCTGGCTTCCCACCAGCTCATGGTGCCCCAGTTGCTGCCCAGAGCCGGCCATCAAAACTCCTGTTCTTTACTTTTCATCCACTCTGATGCCTCACGTGGGGACCTGGCAGTTCTCCAGGCTAAGCTGGTTTTTCTAGAATAGGTTCCTCTTCCACTTCTCCCCGCCTCTTCCTGGTCACAGCCCCTGGCCAGCATCCGGCAGTCCAGCCTCAAAGGACACCTGTCCCCACAGGTGAGGTCACTGAAAGAGCTCAGAATTAGGGGACTGCAGGCTAGGCTAGGAGCCCTGCCTCCCTACTGTGACCTCTGTACTCGTGGGCAGGTCTCAGCCTTAATTTTCTCATCTGTAGAATGGGAATAATGATAAAACCCATTGTACCTTTGACAGATTCTACACAAAAAAAGCTTTGAATCCAGTAAAGCCCTAGAGAAACACGATTCTCTCCTGACCTGGTTTATACTGTTTAATCCCACAGTGTAAGTCTCTATGTCCGTGCAGCGGGGGGCTAGAAAGACAGTGAGACCTCTGGAGGCTGGCTGGTGGGATCGAGAACTGGCCCTGCCACTTAGCAGCTGCGCGACTTGGGGCAAATTACCTAACTTATGGAAAAATGGGAACAACGAGAACATCTATCCCATGAGGCTGTGGCTGATGGTTATGATACAATGCGAGTGACAAGTTTAGCAGAGACCTGCCCACAGTGGGTGGTCGGCACGTAAGGGCGCGATTAAGTCATGTGACGGTGTCTCCCCGCAACCCCTGTCCTCTCTACTTAGAAGTCATTCAGAGCAAGGCCTATGTGTGTTCCACCTGGAGGGGAGGAACCTGGCCCAGGTCCAATCAGGTGCTTGTTAAATGCTGCTTTGTGTGTGTGGTTTTTTTTTTTAAGATTTATTTATTAGACACACACACACACACACACACACACACACACACACACACACACGGACAAGGAGGTGGAGGCGCAGAGGGAGATGGAGGAGAGAGAGGATTCCAAGCAGATTCCCCGCGAGCACAGAGCCCCACCATGTGGGGCTCGATCCCATGACCCTGAGATCATGACCTGAGCTGAAACCAAGAGTACGGGAAACCGACTGAGTCACCCAGGCACCCGTGTTAAACACTCTTTTGATAAATAAGAAAGAGCTGAGATGATCCCTTGATAGAGGCTGAGGGAAGAACTACCCCCTGTTCCTCCCGCCCCGACCTCTCCCTCTGCTAAGCAGCTTTGTGAGGGGGGAGGGGAGCTGCCGCCATCCAGCAGCCTTCACGCGAACCTGCGGGGCTGCCAGGGTCCCCCCAGATGGACAAGTCTGATAAGACAAGTCTTATCAGACGGGCGAGGAGGGGCCTTGCCGAGGCTGGGAGTGGGAGTCCTGTCTTCCAGGGACCCTCCTGCTCACTAGCTCGTGCTTAAACTCCAAACAATCCGAGCCAGCCAGAGAAGGGGATAAAATTAAATCCTTGATCATGATCAAGTGGTTAAAAAAAACCATCACAGCCAGAGGCTCCTTCCCACTGCAGCCAGCTCTGCTTCAGAGTAAGCAGGGAGGACAGGGGAACCGCTGAGCCCCCAGCCCCCAGCGCCCTGCCCCTGCCCGGGCTGCCTGCCCCTCCCAGGTCACAGGTCTCCGGCCCCAGGGCCTGGAGTTACCCTTCCCTGCACGGAACTCCATGGAGAGGGATGAAGTCCCCACAGGCCTCAGGCAGTGGCTGCAGGTGGGGGAGGCCCTCCTGGGCTCTGGGTTCAGCTGCACACACCTGGGTTCCCCTTCAGGCTCTGACGGTCACAAGCTTTATTTTGTTTGCGACAAGGTCCACCTGGGAGATGCCCTGAGCTCTCTGCAGCTTCGGGAAGCCGAGGTTAATACTCTTCCCCCTTGCAAACCTCAAGGTTTCTCTCCTAGTTGGGTTCGATTTTACGACCCTGAGATCAAGACCTGAGCAGAGATGGAGAGTCAGATGCTTACCGACTGAGCCACCCAGGCGCCCCTAGTTACAGCTGTTGGCAGGGGACACCTGTCAAGCCTGCTTCCCAGTCGGGAGCATGGGAGTGAGCGGTGATGGCATTACCTCCCGGTAGCTGCCCCCCCAACCCCCAACACACACACACACACACACACACACACACACACACACACACCCCTTCAGGCAATAGAGGGTGTCCTGGCTGGGGGAGAATTTCACAACCACAAGATTGACTGAAGGCCA